GGAGGAGGAGAAGGAGGGGGGACGGGGGAAGGGGGAAGAAGGAGGAGGAGGAGGAGGAGGAAGGAGGAGGGAGGAGGGAGGAGAGAGGAAGGTGGAGGGAGGAGGGAGAAAGGAGGGAAGAGATGGGCAGATAAAAAAAAAAACTTTCGAAAAAAAGCCTTAGATCGAAATACGAAGACTCTACGGAGAAAAAAAATACGATGGGAAAACAATAAAATCAGACAACGTGACAAACACACGTGGGGGAAGAGGAGTGGGGGGGGGGCGCCACTCCCCCTTTCCACGGCGGACATGAACTAATCACGCTCCCCCGAATCAACATCACCTCAGATATCCTTTCTCCCCCCCCCCCAAACCCTACCCCTTTCTCCAAGCCCCCGCCAGCCCCTCCCCCCCCCTCCTCCCCCCGATCCACGTCCCCCACCAGTCCCCGAGTTCAACAATAAGCCCCCCCTCCCCCCCTCAACTCCATTCCCCCCCCCCCCCCGCTCTTCACTACACGTCCGGCGCGTTCTTGACTCGTTCTCAGACACGCCTTGAGTCACGCCGGACATCGAGTGCGTGCGTGTGTCGTGTCTGTGTGAGAGAGAGACGACGGCGGCGGCGGAGGAGGAGGAGGAGGAGGAGGAGGAGGAGGAGGAGGAGGAGGAGGAGGAGGAGGAGGAGGAGGAGGAGGAGGAGGAGGAGGAGGAGAGTGGAGGAGGAGGAGGAGGAGGAAAAGAAAAGAGAGAGCAAGGGAGGGAAAGGAATATGAAGGGAAAGCGAATGACAAACAAGCATGAATCAGAGTGAAAAAATGAAAATAAACAAGGAAAAATGAAAAAAAGAGGAAAACCACAAACGGAGGAAAAAAAAAACATATCACAACAAAAAGCAAAAACGCGAAACGCAACACAACCCCCCCCCTATAAACACTAACCCCCTCCCTACCTCTCTCCCCCTTTCCCTCCCTCTCCCCCCCTTTCCCTCCCTCTCTCTCCCCCCTTCCCTCCCCCCTCCCCCCCTTCACCGGAAACCCCACTACGCTCACCCATCCCCTCATAGTCACCTTCCACACCGCCGGCCTGGGATTCCCATGCTGTCTACTCGTCCTATGGTAATCGCTATGCTGTGCGCTTCCTCGGTCACCATGAGCGATGTGCTATGTAAGGCGACCGGATGGCGATGGAAAACGATGTAAAACGAAGCCAAAGTGAAGTAAACCGAACGAATGGCGATGTAAACCAAAGCCAAAGCGAAGTAAAACGGCCCAATGACGTAAACCGAACGAATGGCGATGTATGACGGACGGACGGACGGACGGACGGACGAACGAACGAACGGCGGCGCTGCAAGACGAACGAAGGACGGCATGCAACGGAGGCCAATCGATGTCGGACTCACGAATGGCAACGGAGAGAGAGAACGAAACGACTAATAACGAACGAGAAAGGTTTGTCTTAGCGAAAGGACAATGCTGGAAACGAAACGACTTACATTGATTAACGAGCGAACTGCTAAAAAAAAAATAAAACGAAACACGTGCTCAGCAGATAGATAGGAGTGTGATCGTTTAAGAGAAAGCAAATGTAAATCAATCAAACGTGACCGAAACGAGCGAATAAATGACATGTAAAGGATCGATTTTGTACCAGTAAATGATCACACATTCAAAAGAAACCACGAAACAAAACCATGGAATCATCAAAAACAAAACAAAAAGTGGAATATCACGTCATTTTCACTATTCTCAGCGACTGAATATGTGAACTGACGAAGATAAAAAGGGGGAACAGCAGAATGATCTATAACAAAAATAAGAAAAAATCAAACCCAAAAATACAAACTGAAACAACTCAACCATGTAAAACGAATTACCACGACCAGCAGCCATCGCCGAATTTGGTCATTAAACAAACCTCAAGATATCTCCATAATTACATCCATAATCACCAAGATCACAGACGTATCAATCCTAATGAATTTCCGGAAGATTAAAAAAAGAAATAGAACGATGCGTCATTCAAACCACGGCCACAATACAACCAAAATATTAATTGAAAACATTAATCTCTGGGATACCCATCAATAACAAGATGAAAGCGATACGGGTGCTTTTGTGATGTACCGCCAAGCTGCTTCATCATGCAACCCATAACAGTCGTTAATGATCATCGTAACGATAATAAGCCCGTGTTAATAATAAACATAATACCAATAGTGCTACAACTATGCTCTAACTCTACTATCACCATGATAACGACGGTATTAGCAATTACTGATTATGACAGCAATAACATCACCAACAACAAAAATAGTAACACCAATGATCAAAATACTAAGAACTGACAATGACTAACAATAATAGCAATGATAATGATAAACTTAAATGACAATATTACCCTTTGATCACTGTGTAATCATTCTTAATCTCATTATCTTTATCATACACATACCAATGATGTTGGAGGGAATCATAATCATTACTATATCACTATCAGCATTAACGGAATGCCAAACCAATTTCAACAAAACATCAGCAAAAAGTAACAAAAGAAGTAT